TAAAACCCAACTACACAAACAGATAAAGTGGACAGTTGCAGAGATCAGCATTCCCAGCATGCAGCCGCACATTAATAGATGTTATAACATTGTTGGGTAAAACTGTTCATTGTGAAACTGTTAATTCACCTGACTGTTCACAAATCCAGTGCACTTCTCATAAAATGCTTAACGGTGTTCTTATAGTCTATACTGCACCCATGTTTATAGCTCAGTTTATTTTTCCCCACTGTCCACTGATGCTAATCTAAATGATGAGTGCTTCAGATCTTCTGCTTGAAAGTTCCCTATTATGATGCAACTTGGGGAAATGAGTGGCCTAGCTGGCTGGCTGTTGGTTTTGTACACGGTGGCAACGAGCTTGGAACAGCCGAATTCTGTTTCTCTGTGGTCAACCTCAGCTACTGGAAACCCGGGATCACGGGGGCGCCCCTGCACTTTCTGTTTAAACAAGCAATCACTCCCCTTCACCACTACCACAGAGAGAAGGGGGAAATGAGCCCCAGCTGCGATTCTCAGGAAGAGACTTTGGGAGCTGGTAAGGGTTTGAGGGAAGAGGTCATTAAAACAGCACCTAGCTCTGGAAATAAGAGAAATTTGGGATTCTCACGAAAGTCAGAGGAACTGGACTGCTGCTTTTAACTCCCAGCTGGATTTCATAGATGTTTTCCTCCTCGAATCAGCCTGAAAATATGCCTTTTGCATGTGCTTACTGATTTCCACTGGATTTGCATAATCTTTACTGCCATTAAATTGACCAAAATAGTCTAGAACAAAAGCAAGAGATGTTCCTTTCCAAACAGAGTAACAGGTTTCATAGGCACCAAAAGTGGAACATGGTTGCTGAGGCCAAACTAAGTTCAGCACAGGTTTTTTATAAACATTTTAAATTGGAAACAGCTTCTCTTTAAAAGAATGAGGTTAATGTGCAGTGTGAACACAGTATACACTTGTGTGTAAGAACCTTTTGTAGTTGCCACTTGTTTTTAAAGTAATTGTAGATGGCAGTTTTGTTGGCTGGACCTTTCTTCTCAGCAACATTAGTTCAGGACAACCACAAGGATTACTGAATTACATAAGGTGTATCATTTCAAACACAATGTCTATTCAAAATTCAGAGTTAGATGTGTGAAAATGACTCCAGTCACTTAATTTCTCTTCTCCTCTTCCTTCAACCACTGTGTATGATTGGCATGCCACCAAGCTTGGCTTTCACCAAAATACGTCCGCAGTGAATCACCCGCATTTTTCAGTGAGACCTCTGCACTGTTATTTGGTTTTCTACAGAGCTGAATGCTCTCGTGTGTGTGTTCTGACGGCTACTGGCAGACATCTGAGTCTGTGCGCTCATGTCCGTCTGTTAAGCCATTTTCCTTGTACAACCTGCAAACAATTTGAAACAGCATGTTGTCAGGCTTCAGAACATAAATGAGGCCATTATTTTGTGGATAATATTTTACCTTTAATCAGTGCATCTTTTAGGAAATATGATGACATAAGAGGAAGATGTTGGAGGAAAAGCACCTTAAGTGTTACTGTGATTTGCGATGTACTTTATTGGCAGATTATGAATGCAGTGACATCATGCTTAAGAATAATAATTTCTGGTAACACTTTACTCAAAGCCTTTATGTATGATGCATTCTAAAAGTAGTTTTAATGCATTAATTATGCCTTGTAATGCACCTTATGATGCATTGTACAGTCTCATGAATAATTGTAAATACAGTTAATGCATTATAACACTTATCAATTCATTGTTACTCAATGCATTTTAAATTTGGTTATAATTTTGTTATGACAAGATATATTACAACGCACATTATGAATAATTCTAATGCATAATACCCTTTAATAACCCTTTATAATGCATTATACATAAAGGCTTTAAGTAAAGTGTTACCCAATTTCTTCACTCAACGTACACTTAAAGTACACAGTTGCTTAAAGGTACAGTAGGAGATTTTGGAAAATGTTAACTTTAGCCTGATAGCACTGAAAGCGAACGTCCCACCCTCCCTGCAATCGCCGTCCAAAGCCACGCCCCCTGAACGCATATACGCTCATCGCTCACAGGCCAGAATACCAGAGACAACATTACTACAATAGGCTACATCAGCGGTTCCCAATTCCAGTCCTCCCACTGGATGTGAAGACGTACGTGTGTAGGGAGCAATGAACACTGTGTAGGGATCATATCGATCGGAACACAGTTCATGCACGTAGCTCACTTCTAACGAGCTGGTTATCTGAATCGGGTGTGTTAACTAAGCGAGGCTGCAAAATATGCAGAGCTGGGGGGTGCGAGGACAGGAATTGGGAACCGCTGGGCTATGTGTCATTCACCGGTGAGAAAACGTTAAAAGTACTACAGTACCAGGAAGAAAGATCGGGTTGTTGCGGGTTGTCTCGCTCTGTCTGCACAGCGTGCGTGAACGTGCTGATGACGTATCTGGGTGATCTGGGTGCGCAGATGTATTCTAATACATACGTTGACAGGCAGGTAGGAAAGCCAATTAAAACGCTCGGACCGAGTGTTTTGATTGGACGAACATTTCTTGGTCCTACGCCTTCCACAGAATATATGAATACAGATAAATACATTTAGACCACTTAACTTAATGATTGCTATCATGATGTGAAGAGACTTTCAACCAGCATAACAAAAAAAAAATTCTGAAGACAATCACCTATTGCACCTTTAAGGTATCAATATTTATTTTTGTATGTATTTAGGTTTTCTTTTTATGTAGTCAATATTTTTATTTCTTTAATGTTGCACTCAGTATGCACTCTTTGCAGCCAGACATGATTTAAGTTAATATTTTTTCAGTCTTATTTATAATATTATATAATATAATATATAGCATAACATGACAATATAACATAACATAACAACAATATAACATAACATAACAATATAACATAATGGGTGAATTCCAAACTGCTTTTTTGCGCCCTTCAAGGGCACTTCGGGAAGTTTGCAATTTATATATATATATATATATATATATATATATATATATATATATATATATATATATATATATATGTGTGTATGTAAATGTATATATATTATTTATATTAGATTTTTTTTATTATGGTTTATATCTATGATCTGTTTATTAGATTATATGTTGCCTGCATTTTTTTTTTTTTAATGAATGTCTGACTGTGAATATTGCATTTCTATAATGACATCAGTTACTGAGTGCACCATTCGATGCATTTTAAAATCACTTTATACCTGCATAGTAGAGATCTAAAATATAGGATAAGTATTCAATTGTCATTTGTTCCTTTGATATGTTGAATGTAAATACATGATTCCATGTTTTATGTCTGAAATTCTCCTGAATTTCTTTTGTCGTGTGAGCGAAGTTGCACAAGCGCTGTTATATCTGCTTCGGTTGGGATGCTTGGCTGTGGCTTTATAGTCCAGGGCTCAGAGGATCTTTAATTGACAGATTGAAAGAGTGCCTCACATTCACAAGCTGTTAATGGTTTCCATTCCCCACTGCTGACTAGTGCCAAAAACTGGAAGCCAGCTTTGTGTATTGAAGGATAGCTGAATGTACAGGTTTTTAGGAGGTAATTGTAACTACTCTTGAGAGCTTACAACAAAAAAATGATTAAAAACATTTTGATGTGTGCAGCTGATTTACATCTCTGGTGAATTATGATGAAAGATATATTAAAGTACACAACACTATAATTTTATGTCACGTCAGGCATGAGTGAAAGTTATGGTGGCTTGCTGTTCAGTGAGTCAGGTGATAATTCACTAAAGCGTTTATTAGAATGATTCAAACGGGTCACTTGGGAGTTCTTGAGTCCTTTTGAACAATTGAAATGACAATGAAATAAGTGGCTTATAAGAGTCATGCATTTGTAAATCTGACTTCGCTGGTCATAGTCTTTCAAAGGCAGTGGAACACTTGTTGTCTTTGATTTATTTTGAGATTGACCTGGTCCTTTCACTCATCACATTAATTTTTATATATACTGTATATATAAGTATTATTTGGTCTTCATCCAATAAAATATTTTAGTGACATAAAAGTAAGAAATGTTTTTATTGCTTAATGTCCACATACAGTATTCTTGTTCTGACAGATAGGTTGGCACGGTGTTATTTCCAGTGCTTGACTCAGATGCCCTCAATCAGTCTGTCTTGGTGATCTCATTTACCGCTTTGTTCATGGTAGCAATGCTTTTTTATCATTAGAAATCACAGGCCTTCCATTGACACCTTGTCCTTTACACAATAGTAACCATGCCAACTCCCTCCTCACTTGTTACCCGGTTTTAGAGTGCGGCATTGGACATGTCGTTCATAGGGGGATTATGTTAGTATGCCTGAATTAAGCAGCTGTAAAAAGAACATGTTGACAGATCCCACAGCACCTGAGGCAGTGGAGCAGAGTTGAACTGAGTACAGAAATGTGGCTTCCTGCAGGTTGCCCAACACCATAGGTATCAGTGTTGCTGCTCTGGCATACATTTTTAATTGTGTGTTCGAGTTCAAACAAGGTAAAACTGCTTGGGGACTGGTTAATTGACTCTGTGGATAAGCCAATGTCAAATATTAACCTGTCTAGCAAAATTATTACCTTATTAACTGGTAATTTAGTAATACAAAAGCTCTTTTGTTGTTCTCTGATGCTTTGTTGGGGAAACATTGTTCCTAAAAGGCTAATTTCACATCTAGCATTTTCTGCATTTTAAATACTTATAATACATTAATATACTATTTCAGTTACTTCTTAATTATGCCCAATCAGTCTTAAATGATATTAAGATCTGCTTAAATGATATTTACCTTTTAATTTCACATAATTATCCACAATTTGTGAAGAAAGCAAAGCGTTAAACAATACGTTAAAATATATCAGACTTCTGCAGAATACTTTATAATCACCTTTTAAAATTGAAATGGCCCAGAGTGGCTGCAGTACCACTGATTTCTTGCTTGTTTGTTTTATTTGTGTGTTCAGAGGCAGTCGGAGCCTGAGGCCCCTGCAGTGATGCCTGCATGGATGCAGAGTGTGGATGTTCTGAGTGAAGCTGTAGCTGGATTCAGCACGATGGAGGAAGTAATGAAATACCTTGAGCCGGAACGCTGGCAGGTGGACATGGAGGACCTCTACAAGCCTACCTGGCAGGTGGTGGGCAAATCATTCATCCACCAAAAGAAATCCAGAGGTGAAGATCCTGTATTTAAAAAATACTTGGTCAATACTGGAACTACATCTTTTTTTTAAACCAGCTGTCTATTTTTGTTTGAATAGGAGTAGTGGACCTGAACCTGCTTCGTGAGGAGGTACGGCTTTACAGTTGCACTCCACGGAACCTTTCCGTCTCATTGCGTGAGGAGCTGAAAAGGACGGACGCCATCTTCTGGCCCAGCTGCCTGCTGGTGAAGCGCTGTGGAGGGAACTGCGCATGCTGCTCTCTCAACTGCTATGATTGCCAGTGCTCGCCCACCAAAGTGGCCAAAAAATACCATGAGGTATATAGCAAAGAACAGAAGGCCTTCTGTTATACTCTATATTTCATATATGGGGTTTCTTTCACTAATAACTGTGTGCAAGTGTTCATATATGCATCAGTGTGGCATTATTAATATGTGCCATTTATTAAAGGGGTCATATGATGTGATTTCAAATTGTCCTTTCTCTTTGGAGTGTTACAAGCTGTTCGTGAATAGATAAGATCCCTAAAGTTGCAAAGACTAAAGTCTCAAACCCAAAGAGATATTCTTTATAAAAGTTAAGTCAACCACGCCCTCCTAAAAGGCCTAGTTTAAACACGCCCCCAACATGTGTATGTCACGATGTGGGAAGATTTGCATAACACCGCCCAAATGTTCACGCAAAGAAAGAAGGCATAACTTTATTGTTGCTGCCACCGCCACCGCCATGTTGTGAAGACGCTGTGTGTTTCGTTGCGAAAGCGAAACTACTTTGTTTGGTCTTCCAAAAGAGGACACCACTAGAAATCAGTGGTTAAGTTGTATTTACAACACTGTTCCAGAACAGTTCAACTCAAATATTCAGATGTGTGCAGCGCATTTTATGGAGGACTGTTTCCTGATCCTGGTAGAGTAGACTACAGTGCCGGCTGTTCTGACTCACAGACTGTAAGTACGTTTTCATATTTAAAGAATTTGCCACTGATGATTCAAAAGCGAGTTTTGAGCAGTGTAGAGTAGCGTTTGTTGTTTCTCCGATCACAAATGCAGACATGGTTTTATGTTTACGCGGCGCGATGCAACGTGTAAAAAGACAGTATAAGTCATTATAATCCGTAATTATGTCCCCACTGGATGCTACAAATGCCTTGTTTATAATGGGTTTTAATGTTTTTGTCTCGTCGCACCGGGACACGGCATCACAGTATGGTAAGGGGCGTAACATTTCCGTCACACGCTTGAGGTATTCGGCCAATCACAACACACTGGATAATGTTATTTTTAGCAACATCATATGACCCCTTTAATGTTTAGTATGCTTGTTTTGAGTTGGTTCTAAAATTAATCCTGAGTGCAAATTTAATGTTCAATCATGATTTCATGTGTACACATGGTTAGTGAATGAGACCCATTGGGTGTACATGAAGTGATGATGTGTTTAAGTGCTTAAAACATTTCTGTGTATGTTTCTCTGCCTGTCTCTATATTTGTCTCTTCTTGTGCAGGTTCTGATGCTGAAACACAGGGCAGGGGGTCGGGGGCTGCAAAAGACTCTAACGGATGTCCCCCTGGAGCACCATGAGGAGTGTAGCTGTGTGTGTAAAAATGACTCCGACTAAAGCAGTCCCAGGGAGAGAGCAACACTGGCCCCCAACAGACTCGACCAGGGAAATAGTTCTTGCTTCATGCATAAATGAGCAAAAGAGTTTTTACCCTGACCTTGCAAACTAATGAAACCCAGCGCTGGCTATCTTTTTATCTTGACTTATCTAAGCCTGCGGTTCCATTCGTTTTGGGCTCACAAATCCATAGAGAATTGACCCATGCCGAAGTTTCCATTGGCCCTATGATAGCATGGAATGTCAGGAGGAAAATTGGACACAGTCTTGCTTCTCTGTGTGTACATGGAGGTTTTGTACATTCATGAATCTTTTTCTGTGTGTGAGTGAATGTATAGAGCTGTTCAGGAAATTAGGTATTCCAGAATAACTAGAGAGCCTGAAGTGAGTTTGCTATTACTTGTGGAACAAGTGGATTTGATGTGTTCTTTTATATAGTTTTTCTCTTTGCTTTTTTTCACAACTTAAAAATATCTAAGGACCTTGACTATGCATCAACTTTCAGCAATCCAAGGACAATTTTGAGGTGGCATGGACTTTCTCCTCAATAACATCCTAAAGAAATGAATTACACTGTGTCATAAACCAGCACTCAGTCACCTACTCATTACTGAATCAGCACTCATCACTGAAATCAGACATTTTTATTAATAACTCAGAAAGAATATTTTAGGAAAGATAAGGATGTCCCTTTTTTTTTTTTACCAGAGCTGAGTGATCATACATCATCTGCTCTTTTGCTGTGTACTATAGACTCTTGTGAGAATGGCTCAAGAGAGAACACTAAAATACAAAAGTGAATCTTGTGTAAATATATTTCAAATTGTGATTTGTTGACTTTTCCTTTGTCATGACAGTTTTTGGTACCCAAAGTTTTGGCTTGTAAGAATCGTTTTTCCCCTTTCATAATCACTGTAGTATTTTCAGTATTAGTCCCTCTTTTTGTAGAGACATTTATACTTTTGTGTTGTTTGAATAGTTGTTTTAATTGCGTAATAAGATTGTTATTTTGACTGGAGACAAAATGAAAACTGTTAGATGTTCATGTAAATGGACATTTTAGAAGTTAAAGGGACGTAGAACTGCCAGTACCATATTCCTCTACCATTAAACGATTAACTAAATTGTTGTGGTTTTTCCAAATGGTGCTTAAAGCATTGGTTTACTCAGGTAATCTGCAGTTGTCACAAAATTGCAAAGTATTGCCAGGGAACCCTATAACCATGAACCATTTACTGCAATCTGACTTCAGTCTTTGAGAGCGTAATTAGATGTTAATGATGTATCTCTGCATTAAGACAGGCATCTTTCTCATAAACTTTTCAAGAGTAAAATCATGTGACTGCCAGTGTTACTCTCAGCATTCCTTGAATAATGGACACATTTAATTTCCTTTTCACTTGTTTTAGGCAAAAGAGTTGATCTCGTCTGCATGCAGTAGATGACATGCGAACATTAAAACTATAACAAAACATGACATTGGTGGAAAATGAAGACAATGTGATTTGCTCAAATTCTGGGAAAGGGAGCGGAGTAAACAAGACATGCAGCATTATTTGCATCTTTTTTTAATCCGCCTTAGATGACCTTTTCCGCTGTCATTTTGTCAGGCTATTATTCTTTGATGTAATATTTTTGTGACTTGTTTTTCATGCTTTGATCACAAATTCCTCACACTTGGCAAACCAATTTAACAAGCCACCTACTGTAAGCAGGCTTTGAGATCGTCTTTAAAAGACGAAAGGTTCATTTTTGTGCAACTTGACAGAGGGAATGAGAATTTGGATTTTGTTGATGTGTCATGTGAAAGTGAGAGAAGTGCCTTGATGTTGTTAAACAGCACACAGAAATGTAAAGCACGAAGTTTCTCTTTATGAGTCTCATTTATGGTTCAGAGAGAAATTTGAAAACGTGTGCGTCATTTCGGATCGTCATCAGATTCCTATGTAACAGAATCTTAAAGGTGATGCATGCATTTTTTTCTGGGTTAACATACTTCTATTCTTAATTTGGAGAGAAAGCCTTCATAAGTTGATCGGTCTCTGTTATGCCATCAAAACTGTTATTCACGGTATGAAATGAGTTTTGGGCAGGGCTTTCTGATTGTTTGACCAATGGCAGATGGGAAAGTGTTTCAAGAACATTGAAAACAACCAGTTCGGTTATGCTAATGGTGCAGCAATCATACACTTAATGTTATGCTGTCGTCCAAGGTCATTTTATGATCATCAAGATAGAGTGTAAGTAGTTGAGCATAATAACATGAAGACTCTTAATATGCATTAGCACATGTCCGTTCGCATTCTAAAGAGACTAGGGCATTTCACTGTCACCGTTAATAGTAAAAAATGTTGGATCCAAATTTATGAGATTGTCTGGGAACAAAGCATTTATGTATTTAACCAGATGTGCGTATATTAGCGTTGGACTATGGGCTTGGTCTTATTTAGATAATTACAGGGTAGTTGCTCTGTGGTTTTCCAGGAACTGGCTGTGGTTCCTGAGGAAAGTAATGACCTGACATCTGAGTGGCATTAATCAATGATGAGGACAGTTCACTTTTCCACTGCTTGTGTCATTAGGTGATGCAGTCACGTTTTGGATAAACAAAAATCTTAAACTATACTGTTCAAATCCTTCAGAAATCATTCTAATATGCTAATTTGGTGCTCAAGAAACATTTATCAATGTTGAAAACGGTGCTGCTTAATATTTTTGTTCAAGTTTTTTTTTTTTTGGTTTAAAAATAAAAAAACAGTATTTATTAGAAAAAAAAATAGTGTGTAACATTATTCGTCTTTACTGTCCCTTTTGATCAATTTCATGCATCTTTTCTGAATATAAATTTTTTTTAATGAAAAAAATCTTACTGACCCCGAACTTTTGAACTCTTTTTTTTTTTTTTTTTTTACATCTTGACTGAAAAAAAGGTAACTATATTATTTATATTACATCAATTACAATGGTCTTACTAAGAAAAAGAAATAAATGGCACAGTCTTCTATAATGCCTGATCTTGTCTGTTGTATACACATCTGGGAAGCTGTTCACTCAATTCCAGATTTATACAAACACACAAGTAACCGCATGCCCACTGAAAAACATTTGTTCCACAAGTCCATGCTGTAACTGCAATAAAAGTATCAGCTAAATGTGGTTTGATTCCCTTTAGCCCTGAATATGCATAACTCTTAAAGGCAGAGACTGTAATCTCTTTCTAGAACATCCAGTACTTGTACCACACAAAACGGTCATATTGTCTCACACTGGGTGTGTGTGCGTGTGTGTTAGGGTTGATGATAAGCTTATTCCAAAGAGGCAGGGAAAAGGCCATTTATCTTGGAAAACCTTAATCTGTCATGTCCAATTAGAACAGATAGAGGGCAAAGTGTAGACTGTGCTGTATTTTCTTCTAGACTTTGAATAATGCATGTACTTCATAGGCACATATATGCATTCAGGGTCCTGAAAGGTTAATACGACTGATGCCGTTTTCATAATCTAACTAAGCTAATATAAGTGAGCCATGACATTCTAAAATGTTGCCGTAGACAAGATGGCAGAGAGGTCAAGGTCACACACTATAATCCACCATGCACCGCACATGCTTGAAAATCACATTTTCCTCAGGTGGTGGATAAGGGATTGGTTAAATCTCCAGAGCTGATGTGACGCAACAAATTCAAATTTGTAAGTATAGTTCCAGTCCTGTTATATTATAATTTGACTAGATTTGTAGTTCCAGATGCTTAAATTTTTTTTGGAAATTAAATCAATAAAGCAGTTTTTTTTAGAAATACCTTGGTGTTGAAATATTCTATAATCTTAGGTTTGGTAGATATTAAATGTCTCTTCAGAGCCACGTTGTCATAATGACGCTCAGCACATCTTGTTTTGTTTTGGCTGTTAATAAGACATTGCTTTTTCAGTTTAATTGTCGTTACATGGTTAAATAGATACTAGAAAAATCGTTCTTTAGTATACAAATAACACCATCATTCAAAAATTTGGGGTAAGAAATTAATATTCAGTTTTTATTCAGCAAGGATGCATTAAATTGATCAAAATTGACCGTAAACACATTTATAATGTTATAAAAGATTTCCATTTCAAATAAATGTTCATTTGAACTGATAATAAATGTTTCTTGAGCAGCAAAGCAGCATATTAGAGTGATTTATGAATGTTCATGTGACACTTAAGACTGGAGTAATGTAATGGCTGCTGAAAATTCAGCTTTGCCGTCTAGACCTTGCATATTAAAATGTTTCAATAGAAAACAGTCGTTTTCAATTATAATATTTCAATAATAACAATTTAGTATGCAAATTTTATAATGACACCATCAGTACCTGCTACATTTTCAATGGCAGATCATTCTGTCATTATTTGCAGGCTGAAATAATCTACATGGAAACTAAATGGAACTTTACATGTATTTTAAAACTGTTTTGGGCTGGGTTACGGTAATTGCACAAGCTCAATGTTTAATGCTTAAGAGTTCTGAACAAAGCCCTAATCAGAATGTCTGAGGAATATCAATGTCATTCAAGCACCGTAAAGATCCCAGAGCAATTGTTAAAAGCTGTAGATCAATCAAGTGAGTTTGGGGTGATTATAGCCTGGGGTTTATGGATCTGGGCTGTTAATTAGAAGGTCTTAAGTCTGATGAAAAACAAAAAAGAGCTTTGCTTCAGAATCTAGGCATATGGTGATCAATAAAACCAGAAAAAAAACTAATTTGCTATAGCTTTAACTTAACAGAACTGTTCAGTTTTCCAGGAGAGTTACATACTACAACATAGTCACAGTGGTACTATGGAAGTCTTAATTACTGTTGCCACAACTGTGACTTACATCAATATGCATATGATACATTAAAATTTAATTAATGTACCATATGTGATGCAACTTAATGCCAAAAAAGCATAATCTATGGGTGTTCAGTGCATGTTTGCTTTCTTCATATGTGACCGTGTTGTTTCTGCACAGAGTTTCAGCATTGCTTTGCAATGTGCATTTGAACTGATAATAAATGTTTCTTGAGCAGCAAAGCAGCATATTAGAGTGATTTATGAATGTTCATGTGACACTTAAGACTGGAGTAATGTAATGGCTGCTGAAAATTCAGCTTTGCCGTCTAGACCTTGCATATTAAAATGTTTCAATAGAAAACAGTCGTTTTCAATTAT